TTATCGCGTATAGTCATAATAATTCGTAAAAATTCGTAAAAATTCATTAAAATTCAGGTCCTTCTATTTTCTCATATCTACTTGTCGTATGAGGTTTTGTGATTTATCTGGCATATTTTCATAATGGGTTTTCATAGTGTGACCGTTATTTCTCCTGCAGCGGGCCGGGATTTTGGCTTCAACGACTCAAGGAGGAGCGTTGCACCTCATTCTCGACACCGTCCCAATACTTCAGAAGGCCAGAGGTCTTATGGGGAACAGAGGTAAGCTTAGGAGGGGAATTCCAGTTGATTTCAAACTGCTGTACAAGCAATAGTTACAGGCTGTATATAAGCGCTAGGGAACTGAATAGAAAGTAAGTTGCCAGATCTTGTGGAGATTGCAGGTGGAAGAAAGAAGAAGGAAAACAAACAAAGAGGCACGTGGTTAAGACAGCAAAAGTCAATGTGACCTTTGCTGCGAGATAACCAGGTGTGGCGAAACGTGGAACAAGGGGTCGCAGTGCTCTGTGCCACTGAGTCGTTCAACAACAATTGGGGAAGGAGACATTGAGATGTGGTGGGGAGTGGTTGGGTGGCGACGGGCGGCGAGCGGAGTGTGCAGGGAGTGTTCAGGCATGGGAAAAGGTTGGGGAGGAGGTCATCTGACTCCGGGGAACGCCAGGTCGTGACAGTTGTGGCATCTGTGAATGATATGAAATAGTTTGCTCCCCCTTTTCCAATGACCTGTGCTGGTCCCCAAAGATTGGTAACAACAAGTTCCCTGATTTCCCAGTACTTTGTATTTGACTCCTGGGGCACTGGTTGCACTGTGGATTTCCCTTGAATGCATGCCTCGCATTCAAAATTGAATGGGGATGGAATTATCTTCATTCCATCAACCCTACCCTGCTCTACCATTGTTTTCAGGGACTGGGGTGTGATGTGCCCCATTGCCCTATGCCACTCCTCCCATGTCCTTCCTTCCCTATCTCCACCTGTGGTCCCTGCCATCATGACCGGCTTTTTCGGAATAGACATATCCATAATATATAATGAATTGCCCTTTGCTTTTCCTCTGTCTAATTCTGACCTGCTCAGAGTGAACAATTTAATCAGATCAGACTTGATTTGAATTGTTCCTCCCAACCAGTTGAAGCAGCGCAGGGATAATAAATTGCTGTCATTAGAAGGGATGTGGTAACAGTCTTTCAGCATAACTGTGTTAGTCCCTGAGTCCGACCACATGGCAACCAGAACCATTCCACAACCATGGATTGGAGTTTTGATTCCTCCAACTCCATTCAAGAAATGGGATTGTTTGTACTCAGTGAATGAAGCACAGTCCCTGACTATATGATGATCCATGCTGGAATCACCGATCCAAGAATCCCCAAAGTGCATACCTGCACCCATGAATGAATATGAGTTATCATTTCCATTCTTGGATGTGACCTTTGCATTTTTCTCCATGCCACTTCTCTGTTCATCCATGATCCTCTTTCAGCACTCCTTTATCCAATGACCCTTCTTGTGGCAGTACTTGCACTCAGTATTGGATTTATCTGGCTTTGATTTAAAATTGTTAGAGTTGGGTCCGGGTTTAGTTGAATTGAATATAGCAGGTGCACCGGAATTTCGGGATTTGCGACAATTAGCCTCCCCTTTGATTTGGAAAACAATTGAATGAGCTGCCACCATCTTCTTTTTATCATCTGGATCCTCCAGTTCTTTGAAATCAATTGAGGCAATGAAATTGTCCCAAGACGATGGTAGTGATGTAATTAGGGCCATGACAAATTCCGATTCTGGGAGTGAGTCCCCATGTCAGAGACCAGGTTGAGACGAAGGAGTGTCTCCGTGGTGGAGGGCTTCGGCCTCAGCGACTTAGGCCAGGAGCGCTGTGCCAAGTAACACGTCCATGCCCTAACTTACTAAACTGGCAACCAGAACTGAAGGGGGTAAACTCTAGTCGATTTTATTACTGAGGTGTAACCTATGTACAAGTTGAGTATATATATAGTTACAACGAGGGCAGGCCCACAAATGGTGGAGCCGAGCCGAGCCGAGCTAATGGGGTTAGACATTAGCCGATTGAATATTACTGACGAGTTGGGTTACGGGGTTAACGGAATCGTAGGTGATAACCCAGAAATGGAAAGGAGGGATAGGCCCGAAGGTGGGCTTGCAGGGCAAGCGAGTGTATTGCCTAGTGGAGGTGGGAGTGCACTAGTGGACGTCGGAGCTGTCCGGAAGCCTTCAGGGCTCCATACTTAGGGAGGTGTAGGTAATAAATTGAAAAGAGGGGGTGGTGACCATTGAGGGGTACCGAGGTGATTGCGGAATACGGGAGCTCCGAGGTTAGTGAAGAAGGAGCGGAGGTAGACCGGAGGGATCGGAGGGAGTGGAAGTCGATGGCCAGGGATGGATATGACACCCCAGCAATCTGGAGATCTTGATACATGTGCCGTAATTTTTCATGATGTGATGTGAGGTCATCTTCTTCCAACCTTCTCGTGCTATAGAATTGCTGCCAAAGATAGATGCATGCAATACTCCCAGAATCCTCATATTCATTCCGGATTGTGTCCCAGATTTCCTTCATGGTATCTACTGATTCAATGAATGTTTGCACAAATGGGTTGCACCAGACATGCATTTGGAAAATTGTTTTGCTGTCTGACTTTTGGATTTTAGCTTCATCAGATTGATTGGCAGCAATTAAGTCATCAAGGGATTTCTCTATATGTGGGAGTAGGTCGAGGACTCTGAGGGTATCCTTCATGTTAATTCTCCAGGTTTGGTAATTCTCCTTGCCAGTTAAGGCCAGAATTTTATATCTGCCAAGAGAAACATTGTCAGCTGAGGAAGCCATAGTAACAACTGAGTTAAGAAGTCAAGCAACTGTATTTGAGAAGTCAAGCAAAGTCCAAGTGTATTGAGTTAGATAGGTATGACCCTTAGGCTGGGCTCATAACCCCTTGTAATGTAGGGATTCTGTATAAGGCAATCCACTACCTCAGCAGTAACACTCGTGAGACCAGATGTAAGCTAGGGTGAAATCTAATGATTTTTGTCAACATCCATCTGTGCATATTTATATACAGTGTAAATCTATTGTGGAGTGGCCTGTTAAGGTAACTCCTGTGCGACTACAGAATTAGTAATTTCCTCCACATAGTCCTCCACATAAACACCGGCTGTGTCCGGTCCCCATGACTCATGATTACAACAATAACAGATGCAAAATTTGTGCTGATTATCACCAAAGCTCTTCCACCTGCATATAAACCACTCAAGACTATGGCTATAGCCAATACTCAGGATGCATTGACACTAGCTTGTGAAACTCTCATAGGCCAGATCATCAGAGAAGAAAAGTCCATTAAAAGCAAGGAGGTCGAGACAGCTGCACTGCTTGTTAAATCTGTGAAACTACCAGAGAAAGGCAACAAACTAGGAGGAAAGAAGTCCCAGAAGGGTAAAGACTGCCCACATTGCACTAATCTGAAGTGTAACAAAATAGGCCACACATTTGAACAGTGCTGGGCCAAAGGGGGCAGATCTGAGTGTCAGGGGATGACCCCCAGGTCCCCATGACCCCTCTCTATGGCCCACAGCCCAACCTGTAACAGCCTAGTCTCAAGGCACAGAGCTACTGTGGGTAAGAAAGTGGGAAGAAAGTTAACTTCTCACTTTCCCACAGTGGCCACAATATGGTGAAAACTTCCAGAGATATCCGGAAGTCACATGAGAGGTGGGAACCGGGGCCCAGAGCATGCAGTGCACAGAGTGTGCAGGGCAGAGCACACATGTGGGTCCGGATCCGGGCTAGTCAGGGTGTGTGCCCTGACACTGAGGGACAATAGGGGTGTTCACAGTACCACAAGTCAGTCACAAGACTCACTTTTGTCTTGGGGCTCTGGGGCTGCAAGAGTGCCAAAACTGGTTTAAAAACAGGTTCCAAAACTCTGCCTTAAGCTGATTAAACCCTGTGCTGAGTCACATGTACTGCTATCCTATACTGTACAGTTTCTTCCTCACCCAATTGGGTAGCTGCTGTTAGAACGGGGCGGAAACGGACGACTCCGGAGTGGAATTGGAGACTTAGCGTGGAGGGACCTTGGCCTCAGCGACTCAAGCGGAGCGCTGTGCCATTGCTGTTTGTCCATTTGGTCCTTAATTTCACAGTAGGTGAGCAGGAAGTCTCTTGGGGGCATTTCAGGTCGATTTCGGACTGAAACCAAGACGAGTATGTACAAGCGCCAATATATATAATGGAAGGGGCAAAAGCACAAAGAGAACAAAGGGTGACCGAATCGGAACGAAGACGTCCGAACGGGAACAAAGGGTAGAGGGAGCGGAGCGGTACCGAAGGTCATAGGGCAAGACCTGTGATACGTCCGAAAGGAGGTAGAGAGGGCGAGGCCCAGAGGGGCAGGAGGATGAGGGGAAGTGGGGATGATGACTAACTGGCTAGAATAGAAAGAAGCAGTAGTCCAAATAGGGAAGAAGGGAAAATGCGAGAAATACATTACAGGCGGCGAGAGCACCGAAGGCGGTCCGCGAAGCTCGGGGGTTGCGGAGCTTACGGAGGTTACGGAGGCGGGGTTGGAAGTCCGAGGAATATTGGCAATGGTGTTTACGTAGTATGAGGTCACCAATGCAATGGACTAAGGCCGAGGTGGAGTCAAAGTCCGAGGTAGGGACTATGATGGAGGCTCGGAGTAAGGTACGAGCGGTGTCCGAGTGCGAAGTACGGAACAGCGGTGGAAGGTCGTAACTTGGCGGAAGGGTGGCGGAGGAGTAACGGAGGGAGGAGACAGGTAAGGGGAGAAGGAGTGGCGGAAAGGAGAGTAGTCAGGTCCGAAGGTGAGTATTGGAGCAGACGGGGGAAGCGTAGGAGGATAACGGGAGGGTGGAGGTGTTGTGAAGGGGGAGTGGAGTAGTAGGAGGGTGAGAGGTAAGGAGGAGGTGTGTTGCCAGGACCGAAGGTGAGTATCGGAACGGCAGCGGTAGGTTATGACTCCGGAGGTGAAGAGGGTGGAGGTCCGGAAGTCGGGTCGGGGTCGGGTATGCACGGATATGACAGCTGCAATGCAATGCAAGCATGCAGCTCCTTCAACAGTGGTACCCACACCAAATAAGCATGCTAACCGGTCTACTGGTCTAAAAACTGAGGAGATCAGTACCCCCACCACATGCCACATCCAGTGGCTTGCCAACCCTGCATGGATGGATCAGCTGGTATCCTACTTGCTTGAAAACCCATCTGTGCATCTCAAACTATGTGGAGATTCTTCCCAGACGGTGAAGGCAGAGAGCCAGTCAAGGGTCTGACTGATTTATGTCCCAGTTCAGTGTCCATACTTTTACTTGATTCGTTTTTTTAGGTTTCTACTGGTGAGAAGAAGGACTACTGGGCTATCATTGCCAAGTCTATTTGGGATCAGGATGACAAGCCTGAACATGCTTTTTATATCAAGGACTTAGCCCACTATACCACTGCAATTCAAGGGCAGATCAGTTGGTGTGTTGTATTTTGAGCATGCAAATTCAATCATCAACCTTCATCCAACAGGCTTGAAACACAGTACAACTACCTTAAGTTTCTGAAGGAAACAGGCCAGGGTGTTAAGACAGATGAGGAAATTGAAGAAATCCATGCAAATAAAATGGGTATGTAGAAATTTCCTCATATATTCATGCACTAATATTCCTAAATATTAGTGGAGATACACTCGAAGTTCCCTTGGTTTGATGATTTGGATGGAATTTGGTCCACACTGTAGGAGAAATAATATTCGAAGAATAAAACAATGATCTATCAGAATAGTCAACAATCAGGTGACAAGTTCAGATGTTTAACAGATCTCATGATCTTTATGAGACTGGACAGACATTAGAAGATCATTATAAATTATCTACACCCCTGTAGCATGAGATTTAATCTACTACAAGCATGCCTAGAACCTGGCATAGGTATAATATTCAAAGAATATATCCCTACAACAAGAAAATAGCACATAGACGGCAGAATAAGAAGGAACATTGGGAAAGAAATGTGAATATCTCGGGAACCAGTAAACCTTTGACTGTAATCTTTTTACCATCTGAAAGGACTGTTTCTAAACTTTATCCACGGTTTTGTTTCATTCTAAAAGCTTCAAAACTGACGGAGATATCGCTCAAACGGCGAAACACCTTATATAGGAATGATTGATGATATGGATCTCGGATCATAAGCATAAAGTGATTCAAAAGTCTGCGGATTAGTTAATTCATTGGGAAAGCTCTAGAACATTAGTAATGATGCGGCTTCACAAAAGGGGGTGAATTAGAGAACAGTCTAGAAAGTTCCTTTATAGCCAAGTCATTTCTAAAGATAACCGTTTGTAATTAAGGCGGTGTAGAGCATAGCTTTAGCGCTACAAGACCCCGCTAAGATCGGCCCAAAAGACAAAGAACTGAATTACTTATTGCTGAGTCATGTCCTAAGTCCATTATTAAGCTTACACAGCCCAAGCCCCTATATCATTCTAGAACTATCTATAATACAAATGTAGCACATGTAACTAGTGCGAGGCGTGGGAGTAGAGAGGCCTCTGAAAAGCATAAAAGGCCGCCGCTTCTGCCCCCTCTCAAACCTCAGGTAGAAATATAAGTTTAATTCTCCTCACCAGTGGTTGGTTCGTTTGCTCCAAAAGATAAAAGCAAATATTAGTTGTTAGCTAATATAAAACTAACACGTCACTCTAAGCGTGAGTTAGGGTCAGTTAGACACAGCTGAACAAAAGTGTCATAGTGAGAATTAGTGAGTTTGGTGGAAGGACTTCTTAATTGAATAATCTCTCAGCAATACTTGGTTATCACACCACAGGAGAAAAGTGAGCAATCCTGAACCTGCTAGATAACTAGCACGCACTCTAAGCGATAGAAAGAGCAGTTTGGTCACTCCTGTATTGAGTAACATTTATTGCGGAATTATTTTATTAGTAGTTTTCCTTCAGTAAATTATCAGGAAAATCACGTCCTACTGAAAAGTGGTATATCTAGGTGTAATATTGACTAGAAATCATAGTAAAGTCAATATAGAATTTTATCCATAGACGATCTATACATCAGGTGCGATCGTTGGGGGGTGTTTATTGTTGTTTAGACAATTATATATTTGGCAACCAAAACACGGTCAGTACGCAAATCAGCACAAACTCTAATATCGTTATTGGACGTAGGAAACTGGTTACATAAGGTGATCCAGCTCTGCTCCTTCAACGCTTCCAAAACATTCCATTGACTTGATCTCAAATTCAACTGTGGGACAAGCCCAAGGGTCCGAAAACCTTTCTTTGGCCTCGCCTACTATGGATACAAATGTACCGGAGTCTCAAGATGCAACTCTGGCTGAGGTGTTGGAAAATGGCATGGACTTGGTATGTAAAGGAAGGATGAAACCAGTTAGTAGTTACTGACTCCAAGATATTAGAATAGTGTGTCACTACTCCCAATCTCATCTTCCCCTTCCCCACTTCCATCACCCCATACTACCCTACTCGACGAGCAGCTGCAGAGTGTTGACACCAAACCTAAGGTTGACCCAAGGTTTGCACCCCAGCACTTGCAGCTCCCCACTCCTATTACACCAACCTCAAGATCTATGACACCGGGCACATCTTCAGCCCATACCATGGCACAGGGTATCAAGGTAAAGCGAGACTCACTTGCTGATTTCCATGAAGCAAGCAAATTTGAGTCTGAACTCGCGGAGCAAGAGTCAAACCAGCGGCATGCAGAATACATGGCACACATTGCTACACATAGACAGTGTGAGGCAAATAAGCATGAATGCAGAATGCTCAAGTTACAAATCCACCAACTAGAGCTGCAGCAACAGCAGCAATTGGATGTGCACCAGGGACAGCAGCAGTTGGAGTTGCAAGAGGCACAGCAGAACCCTTTCATGCCAACTGGATTTCCACTCACACCCCCAACATTACTTGCCACACCACAAATAGACCTTGGCAAAAACTTGACTCGGCACCTAATCAATTCTTTGCACACTCCATTTTTTCTATTCAGTACTATGGCTTTCAGTGTTGTCCATACACCTGATAAAATAAAGCCTCTTGAACATGTCGGTGCTTCTGCTGACCTTCTGTTTCTCCTGCTATCTGCAGTTCTGTTGGCACCCAAATAAACCCTTCAACTTCTTCATCATCTTCCCTCTCATCATGACCATGCAACCCAACTTCAACCCACTGCAAGAAATCCTCATCAGACTCAAAGTTCTCTTCATGTGCTACCAATGAGTGAATGATAAGGCAGGCACGGACCCATTCAAGAGCGAGTTTGTAGTCACACACACTATTGATTTGTTGACGGAGCCCCCAAAGAGATTGGAATCGGCCTTTAAGGAAACCTACTGCATGCTCTGACAGGATACAGACCTGAATTGACAATTATCAGTCACTAGGGGAGGATCAGTTGAATATTTAGACTTATGGCAGAAAGATGGTAGTTGAACTGTTGGTTAGCTGGTATAAGAGATTGTGGCTTCTTGTATGGTACCATGCACCATGGTGTCAAACCATAAGCAGAGTCCCCCCATAGCCACTCAGCATCTCAGCCCAATTGGTCAGATTCCTTATAAGCATGTGACTCTTTAAAGGCCATGGAGTCATGGACACTCCCTGGTGGGCCAAGAACATAGTCAATTATGTGTAGATTTGGAAGTGTCACTAACTAAAAGCAGATGAGTCAAAGCTTCGTGAAAATGGAATGGCATACTGTTAGGCTAAGGGAGTAATTGGATTTGCAGTCAAAGAATTGTTCACCATAATGTCCTGGCTTTGCATGGAGTAGTATTAGTGTGCCATCCACCATACAAAATCCGGGTCTCCAAGCAGGGCATGAGACTTGTTCCACCCAATCAGAAGCTTCCTGCTTCTCTGATGCACTTGGCCAGTGGATTGCTTGGTCATGAAGAGGGAGGAATGCTGCAATTATCTGTCTTGTAGAATTAATGACTGCTCCAGCACTGCAGCCTGCCCATTGCGTGACAGCTTCAACTGATACACCATTCCCAAATTTACCAAACTAGTAAAGAGTTATTGCAAGCTGGTGTGATATGGGGGCTTGTTCCACATTAGAGCTGTTGTAAAATATTGGATGTTCTTGGATAAGAGATAGAAGAACATCAAAGGAATGAGGTGAGACACGTAGGTTGTGGCAGAAGCACATGCAACGTCCTCTTTGTAACACTGAAGTACAAAGGAAAGCTGGCTGCACTTGGGAACTGAATGCAGGAAGAGGACTCTAGTGGTAACAACATTGTAAAGAAACTGCTGGACACATCAGATGGCTTGAACATGGGAGTGATGGAGCCTTGCGTAGGTTTCGCCAAGGTCTTCATAGGTTGAGTGGGATGAAAGGATAGATGAATGAGATAACGATTCTATAGTGCTACCAGTGGACTCGGAGGATGAGGCACTACTGCTGCTGCTGCTGGAACTTGTACTTGTGCTATCAGTGTCAGATGAGGTTTCAGACTCGGAGTCGTCATCAGTGTCAAAATCGGAAATGGATAGATCACTCAGCTCATCAATAGAGTGAAGGTTGTGGAGAAGACTGCATCGTTGATGTCGGTACTGGGCTTGGAGGCTGGATGCATGCTTGAGAGCAGCATGGATTAAGCGCTCACATTCACTAAGAGTGGGCATGCGGGGTGAACATTATGTAATCCATTCAAATCCTTTGTGACTGGAGAGGCTGTTTTGACACACTTTTTTTGCACACAACTGTGAATGACCTTAAAAGTGGATCAAAAGAGATCAAAAGTCAAGCTCAAAAGTCGCTAGGAAAGTCCAACTTTTGGCAACTCTTGTGGGCATCTTTTCTTGTACATTTTGCTACTGTGAACACCCCTAATGGACAGCAATGGACAGCCCAAGAAACCCTCAAAGGACAACAAGAAGGAAGCTAAAGTGGATGTTCTCCTAGCTGGAGAGCATGCTGCAGTTGTGAAACTGTCAAGGCACACACCCTGACTAGCCCGGACCCGGACCCGCATCCGGACCCGCTTCCACCTGCTGTGCTTCCCGCATGCATGCACGCTCCGCACGCCGCATGCTCCGGGCCTGGTTCCTACCCCTTCATGTGACTTCCGGGTATCCCCAGAAGTTTGCCTGATATTGTGGCCACTGTGGGAAGATGAGAAGTTAGCTTCCTTCTCATCTCCTTACCCACAGTAGGTTGTGCCCTGGATAGGGCTGGTTACACCATAGGGCTGTGGACCATAGGGGAGGGTCATGGGGACCCAGGAGTCATCCCCTGACCCTTTGGAGCAGAACAGGCATACATCACGAAACATGAAACAGACAATGTCGAGGCTGCCCAACTTGCATGTACAACAATGGCAACAGCCTCCATTGATGTGTGGCATGCCTGACTTGGACACATTTCAGTGGATTCAATCCTGAAAATGGTCCAAAGTGGTATGGCCAGGGGAATGGATATAGGAGGAAATGAGCCAACAGAATACTGTGAGGAATGTGAAGCATCAGGACATACCCAATCTCCAACCCCAAAAGAAACACTTCCCCATTCCAAGGAAGTCCTTGGACAAGTCTTCTCCAACATCTGTGAAGTCCAAACCATCACCTGAGAAGGCTTCCGATACTTTATCACATTTGTCGATGACCATTCCCAATTCCTCACCATCTACCCCATCAAGAAAAAGAGTGATGCCCTTGAAATCTTCGAAGAATTCTTGGCAGAGGCAGAATGGCAATCTGGAAACAAACTCAAAATCTTGCACACTGATGGAGGAGGAGAGTACTTCTCTTTGGACTTCATCAAGTATTTGAAGGATGCCAGGATAGTCCATGAAAAGACAAATCCCAACACACTGCAGGAAAATGGTGTGGCTGAACGTGTTAACAGAACACTGGTCACTATGACGATTGCGATGTTGGAGAGTGTGAAGTCTCTAGTCAGGTGCACTGCTTCACCATATGCCCTATGACATGCTACTTGCATCAAAAATGTCATCCCACATTCATCACTCCCAGATGGCATTTCACCCTACAAACTGTGGACAGGAAATAAGCCATCTGTCTCCACCATATGCACCTTTGGCTGCAAAGCCACTCTTGCCATCCCTGAGAACCAACAGGACAAGCTTGCAAGCTGTTCTATAACAGGAGTCCACCCCAGACTTGCCATTGGTAAAAAGGCATTCATCATCCATGACCCAAACACCCATAGAATCCACAAATCCCAAGATGTCCATTTCTTCAAAGGATCTATGGAGTCAGAGCATGTCACTATTGAAGTGCCCAGAGTCATGTCAGGATCACATGTTGTTTGAAGAAGTTGAGGGCCAGAGAGCTGAGGGTCAGAGGGTGGAAGGAGGTGCAACAAGCATTGTGGAGGGAGGAAATAAGGAACCTGTCATATCCATCCCCAGCCATCGACTTCCGGTCTCTCCAATCCCTCCATTCTAACTCCGCTCCCCCCTCACCAACCTCGGAGCCCCCGTATTCCGCAAACCTCTCGGTACCCCTCGATGGTCACCACCCCCTCATTTCAATTTATTACCTATGCCTCCCTAAGTATGGAGCCCCGAAGACTTCCGGACAGCTCCGACGTCCGCTAGCGCACTCCCGCCTCCACTGGGCAATACACTCGCCTGCCCTGCAGAGCCCACCTTCGGGCCTATCCCTCCTTTCCATTTCTGGGTTAACGCCTGCCTTTCCGCTAACCCCGCGAACCGACTCGTCGGTAATATTCAGTCGGCTAATGTCTTAACCCCATTAGCTCCGCTCCGTTCGGCTCCGCCAATTGCGGAACCGTCTCCGCTGTAACCATATATACACCACTTGTACATAGGTTACACCCCAGCAGATAAATCAACTAGAGTTACCCCCCCTAGGTTCTAAGTGCCAGTCAGTAAGTTAGGGCACGGACGTGTCACTAGGCACAGCGCTCTTGGCAGAAGTCGCTGAGGCCAAAGCCCTCCGTTACGGAGACATTCCTTCGTCTCAAGTCTGGTCTCTGACAGAACCCAGGGAGATGAATGGAAGAGTTGAGGATGGGTTGAATGACAACATGCAAGAAGAAATGGTGCCAGAAATTCCAAGACAATCAGGATGAGTATGCCGAGCCCAAGTACAAGACAACAATGACCAATACTTTGTTAGTTCCTATGATTGAGGAAGTCAGCCTGATAAACCAAACAAGAGGGTGAAGTGCACACCTATGTAGCCCATACCAAAGTTCCATGCACCTATCATGAAGCCCTAGATCAACCCAACACGGACTCCTGGCTCGAAGCTTGCCAGGATGAACTCCTTTCTCTAAAGGAAACCCGGACATATAGTCCGGTTAGTACAGATGAGGTAGGCTCCAGTAATGTGGTCAGATGCAGATGGGTATTTGCCTTGAAGCAAGGGGCAGATGGTGCAATAGAGCGCTACAAGGCAAGGATTGTTGCTAAAAATTTCACTCAGATTTACCAGGTCAACTATGACAAGACATTTGTGCCTGTAGTCAAATGGGCTTCAGTCCAGATACTCCTTGCAATTGGCACATGTCTTGACTTGGAAATCGACCAGATGGATGTCAAAACAGCATTTTTAAATGGTAATTTGGAACATACCATATTCATGGACCCACCTCCAGGGAGTACCGACTATGGGAATGAAGATGTGGTGTGGAAACTCCAAAGGAGCCTGTATGGTCTGAAGCAGGTGTTGCAGGCATGGTATCAGAAAGCAAAGGACAAGTTTGGATGACTCAGGTTTACCTGATGTGATGCTGATCACACCATCTTCATTCACAGGGGCCAGAACAAAGAGTTTGGCATCATTGCCCTCTATGTTGACAACCTTATGATCCTCAGCAATGATGTTAACTTGTTGAATCTCAAGAAAGACTGGCTCAGGAAGACATTTAAGATGACAGACCTTGGTGCAATTCATTGCATCAGCAAAAGTCCGTTATGCTCCGGAGCATCAGGAGTGGCTGGAGCATGTGGGAGACAAAACAGCAGATTGGGCACTCCTGGAGCCAATAGTGTTCTCCTGGGAGGGGGTTCAGGAGCAGCTGGGAGTGGTGAGGAGTATGCAATGTGCCAGGAGCAGTGGGAGGAAAATTTTAGTCTCTAAAAAGTTGAAAAAAAAAATTTAGGGAAAAAAA